AAATGCTCCTTAGACATGTGGGTGGCCAGACTTCATCTCACGCCTTTGGACATGCAAAGCACCTCATGGGTGGTAAAGTAGTGGGGGGTAGGGTAGTGATAAAGAGGGAGACGATCAAGGAGGTGATCGACCCAGTGGCTGCAACTCTGGGCTCAAACAGAGCAACCATGTGAGGGTGGGCAGTGTTTGGGTCTGCTGAGCCCACTCGACAGCACACGGAGACAAGGGTGCCCCCTCTGACTCCTGGCCCTGCCAAACTCCCCTGCACCACCCCTCCTCGTTCCCCCAACTCTGGCCACAAGGCCTGCTGTCATTTGCCTCCACAAACCATCTTCCGTCCCCCCTCGGGGCCACTGCACATGCTGCCCTCTGCCTGGAACATTCTTCCCTTGTGGCCTTCGTCCTTCAGATGTCAGCTCAAGGCCCCCTTCCTCCAGGGTGGGCCTGCCTGGCCCCGCCTCGGTCACCTCCCCTGGACCCCCTTGAACATCAAGGCCCACCCTTCACCGTCCTGGTCACATTCAGAAATTTAGCACCTGTTTGTAGGAACGTTTGACTAACGTCTGTCTCTCCAACCAGAAGGTAAATTCCATGAAAGCTGGTACCTCGCCTGCTCTTGCCCTCGGTCTCCCACACCTGGCCCCTGGCCTGCTGTCCAGTCGGTGTTGAGCATTTGACAGCTGGGCAGGTTTATGTCTGAGCCACAGAGGGCGTCACATGTAGCCACTCTTGGGTGCAGAACTGGGAGATGGGCAGGGTGGTGGCCTTGGTGTGGACTCTAAGGGACTCTCCACTCCCTAAAGGTCTGGGCTTGGGGCTTTCTTGGTGGCCCAAAGATGACTTTACCTGTACGATGGGATGAGGACCTTAGGATCTGCCAGACAAAGATTCTCCCATCAGCCCCCTTCATTTTCTCCTCGGCATGGAGGCAGGTGAGGGCTGCCCTCCCCACCCCCAGGCTTCCCAGGACCTGCTCAGCGGCTAGAGTGCCCGCAGGTGCTGGTCTGGCTGGAGGCTGAGAGATGGGCCCCCCCTTCCCTAGAAGACTGTCAGGTACTGGACCTGGGTTGACCCTAAAGTCAATGCCCCATTTGACCGAGGAACCAGCTCAGTGCTCACAGCAAGGCGCAGCGGGCTTCGGGCTACAGAGCTGGAGATCTTGCCAGCCCACCCTGCCTCTTCGCTGTTGGGAGTGAGGTTGCCAAGGACCCCCTCCAGCACACAGGGTCAGTGCGGAAGTGCTCTGAAGAGCATGGGTGACGCGCAGACTGAGGCAGGCGGAGGTGTGAGGAGGGTGCTAGCGCCCAGAGTCAGAAAGCCTGTTTTGGGCAGCCCCTCCACCCCAGCTAAGGAGCTCCGTTAACGTTGAATCAGTCATTGCACATTGGGTTCTTAGTTTACTCTTTGCAAGTGTGGATAGTAAACCCTATTCTCCCCAGCCCCAAACCCTGCTCCTCTGCTTAGGTTGCTACGATAGGTTGCTATGAGTTGAGCCGGCATCTAATCCACGGCAGTGAGTTCAGTTTAGTTACTTTTTTAATGTGTCAGACAGGAGCCCTATTGGTGCAGCGGTTAAGCAGTCGGCTGCTAAGTGAATCGCTGGTGGTCCAAGCCTGCTGGCTGCTAGGAGGAAGGATGGGCCTGCCCGCTCCCATCCCGATGGACAGCCGTGGAAACCCTGTAGGAGGTCTCCGTGAGCTGGAAGCGGCTCCGGGGCAGCCCGTTTGTTTTGGGGTGCACATTACTTGCTGCTCTACGTCTGATCCTCACAACCACCCTGGGACAGATGGTTCCCATCTTTTAGATGAAGAACCCGAGGCTCACGAAATAGGCTCTGTCCGTGCCCACATTTTCACAACCACGGTAATATGGGGTCAAAAGATGGGCCTGGGACAGTCCCTGATGCTGTGTGCTCTGTCGTCACCTTGGCTCCTGCCTCCAGCACCCACCAGGAAAAGGGAAATAGATGCGAACAGCGCCCTGGGAATTCTGCCAGGCCCAGGTCAGGAGGGACGCCAGGCAGAGGCTGCCCCTCCACAGCAGTACTTGAGTTCTGTGCCCAGTTCTGCGCCCAGAGTTGGGTGGAGCATCTCTGCAGCCTGGGGCATGTGCCCTTCTTCTTCCTGATAAAGGAGACCTTGGGTGGGGGGAGAAGGTGGGACCTCTGGATCATTTAAGGTCAAGGCAGGATCAAGAAAGCCCTGGTGTGCTCAGTTTTCCCATAGTGCCGTGCACAGCACACACCGCACAACCCCAGGAGCATCATTCACACTCTAGTCTAAGACGTCGCCGATAGTGTGAGACTTGGGCTATCGTGTGAGGGGCGCTGGCTCCTAAAGTTGCCAACAGTACTTCTAGAGACTGTAAGTGGAGGACGCCTTCCAGAGTTGTGCGCTATATAGCCTCCATACTGGCCCTGGCGGTACTATAGTTCCGTGATAGTCGAGGAGATTCTACCTCATAGCCACCTGGAAGGATGGCGTAGAGCCGCCCTCTGGATGTCCGAGACAGTCATTCTCTGTGGGAGCAGAAAGCCTCAGCCTTCCCCAGCAGCAGCTGGTGGTTTCAAACTGCTGACTTCGAGACTCGCAGCGCTGCAGCACCAGGGCCCTCAAGGCCATGGCAGTAACGGTAGATTGCTGGGAAGCACACTGTGTCATGGATTGAACACCCCCCTCAACAGGTGTTCGAGTCCTAACCTCTGGGTGAAATCCATTTGGAAGCAGGGTCTTCTGTTATCATAAGCAAGCACCAATGGGGGAGGTGGGAAGAAATCTCTCAAGGGAGGACCTCCAGGGAACGAAGGAACAGCAGGGCTAAGCAGCCGACAGAGACCAGGGGCTTTCCCTAGAGCTGACACAGCAAGAGTGAGCGAGCGAGCGAGCAAGCAAGAGAGAGAGAGAGAGGGCGTGAGCCTTGTCCCAAGCTGGTGCCCAAAGGTGGCTCTCAGCCTCCTGAACTGTGAGAAAATAAATGTCTTTTTAAAGCCCCCCACACACACTTGTGGGGTTTCTCTGACCACAGCAGTAGAGAACCGAGACACTATGTCACCGAGACACTATGTCAACACTTGGCCTAAAACAACAACAGATTGATGGACATGTAATTCACATGCCATACAACCCAAGCATTTGAATATGTTGTTTGAAAGAGTTGGGTCATCATCACCACAATCAGTTTGAGAACATTTGTTAACTTGCTGTTATTAGCTCCCCCTTTCCCTCCAGTCCCCTTGCCATAGCCGTGAGAAACTGTTACTCTAGTTACTGTCTCTACGAGCTACCTATTCTGGGCTTCGTGTACAGAATCATACAACAGCCTCCCGCCCCAGCCAACACACACACACAACAACAAAACAAAACACAGAGCAACCTCAATCCAAAAGAAAGCAGAAAATAATAAAAACTAGAACAAATTAAAAATGGGTCAAAAGGGAAAACAAATGATAAGATGTTAACATTTAGCCTAACGATATCTTCTTCATTCAGTCCCTTTCGGATGCACTCTGATCTGGAGGCAGGGCTATTCACATCCCTGGTCAATGGTCCAAGGGAGTTCAATGGAAGCTGAATCCCTTTTGAGACTCTACAAATGGATTTGGGGCTTTCACTGTCATCCGTAGCCTTCTGCAGACCAAGTGCTCAGAATTTAAGCTCTAATACAATTTCCCTCCTCTGACCTTATGCTGTACTATTTGCTATCTTTGGATCACACAGGCTGGTGTACAGCTTCTGTGTGGGCTTAGCTGACACCTCACTTATATGGCTGCTTGCTTTAAGACAAGCTTTTAAAACCCCGGATGCTATTCATATTGATAGCCGGGCACCATCTGCTTTCTTCACCACACTTTGCTGCTGGGCCCATTCACATCTTCAGTGACCCCTCCATGTGGGTAAGTATCAAATGCATCATAAGGACTCATTGGTCTTAGGGTAGGGCTGACTGTTAAGTAAGAGCTCAAAATCCTTTCATGTATCTATGAACACTTAGCTCTCTCCTGGGCTGTTTTACGTAGGTCTCACAGTAATCCTCTGGACTTGATGCTACCGTCACCCATGTTTGACCAATGGGGGAACTGAGACTCAGGGTGGGCAGGAGAATCACCAGGGTCAAACAGCTGCAGCTTCTGTATCCCCATGCCAGGCTCTCCCTCGGGGTGTGGAAAGAATGAGGAAACCCTCATCTCTGAACCTCTTTAATGTAAAAAGACACTTTGAGGGAGTGAGCCACTGGACAGGCGAGATCAGGGCCGTGGTTTCTGGAGACCACGTCCACGGGGATAACAGTCACATCCTGCTGAGGGGAGCAGCAGTCTGGGGTGCAGCAGGTGGTCTCTCCTTGTCTGGACCGAGGATGAGTGCTGGAAATTGAAAGACGGATGGAAACAAGGAGCACAATAGACTTAATAGGCCACGAAAGCATTGGTGTCCACAACCCTGAGACCAGAAGAACTAGATGGTGCCCAGCTGCTGCTGCCAACTGCTCTGGAAGGGATCCCATTAGAACTGGAAGGTCCCGATAGAGTGGAGGAAAAAAACGTGGAACAAAACTCAAAATGATGGAAAAGACCAGGCTCAGATAGAGATTCCTGGAACCTCCAGATATGAGCTCACCCACCCACCCCCGCCCCCGGGGTTAGCATCACCAACCATTTCAGATCAAAGGGGCAGTGATGACCCAATGACAGGTCCAGAGAGTTGGGGCAGGAGGAACGCCTCAGGAAGCCGGGCAGAGAGGGGTCAGTACATTGAGGGGCTGCGATGGGTGGAGGGGAACATTGTCATTGCACAATGTGAACGTGACGACCGGCGCCGGCACCTCTCACCCCACTCACACCCACACCTTCCACAAGACATCACAGCCTCAGAGGCCATGGGCCAGCACGGGCAGACATGACTGGCTACGAGCCACATCAGGGCTCCCACCATCAAAACGTTAAAAGTAGAAAGAAAAACACGCAGGCCTACCCTCACCTCTGGGTCTCTTTCCTCCCCCGGCAGCTGGACAAGATGCTGGACCCTCAGGTGTGGCGGGAGGCGGCCACGCAGGTGTTCTTTGCCCTGGGGCTGGGCTTCGGTGGTGTCATCGCCTTCTCCAGCTACAACAAGCAGGACAACAACTGCCACTTCGATGCGGCCCTGGTGTCCCTCATCAACTTCTTCACCTCGGTGCTGGCCACGCTCGTGGTGTTCGCCGTGCTGGGCTTCAAGGCCAACATCATGAATGAGAAGTGTGTGGTCGAGTAGGTAGCCTCTCCGCGCCTCTGTCCGTCTGTTCCAGGAGAGGAGTCCCCCACCCAGGTGGAGGCTCAGGAGTCTGACCCTGTCCTGGGCCCCAGGGCTGGGCTCAGCGAGACTCTACTGATGGCCTGTGGGGGAGGTGGGGGAGGCGGGGGTGGGGAGGAGGTTGTCTTCAGAATCATGCCACCCCACCTCTGGGTTCTGACCTGGGCCTTCTCCACCTGGTACTCCAGAAATGCCGAGAAAATCCTGGGGTACCTCAACTCCAACGTCCTGAGCCGAGACCTCATCCCACCCCACGTCAACTTCTCCCACCTGACCACCAAGGACTACACGGAGATGTACAATGTCATCATGACCGTCAAGGAGGACCGCTTCTCCACGCTGGGCCTCAACCCCTGCCTTCTGGAGGACGAGCTCAACAAGGTGGGGCCCGGGCCGGCAGGTGGGTGGGCTCGGGCTCCGGCAGCTTCAGCAAACTTACCAGGGGATGTTCCCGTACTTAGCAACACGTCTGGGTGCCCAGCCAGAAACAGAGGCAAGGCATCGGCCGACAGCCCTGCCCTCAGGCAGTAGGGAGTCTCCTTAGCTGCATTGTTCTAGTCCCTGCGTGTGGCGCAGTCGAGCAATGCTGCTGTGGATGCAGTCTGCACACGAGAAGGGTTGGAGTGCTTTCTGCCCTGGCAGCCCTGGTGGTGCTCTGGGTTCAGTGCTGGGCTGCCAACCCCTGGGGTGGCACTCGGTTGGAGAAAGAGAGGCCAGCTGCTCCCGTGAAGATCTTGGAAACCGCACACAGACGGGGTCACCATGAGTCGGAGCCGGCTCGATGGCAGTGACTTTGGGTTGGGTTGGGGCTCTCTGCTCTCGACCCCACGTGACCCTCGCTCACAACTGTTCTCAGGGGTGCGTGGCGTTGTTGCCCCCGTTTTACAGATGTGCTTGGCTACGCTCCCACAGCTAGCTGATGAGTCTGGGTTCAGATCTGCTGCTCTGGTCCCCATGACTGTCCCCACTCTGACCCCCACTGCCACAGAGGCCCTCAGTTCCCCCCCCCCCCCAGCCTGGGGCAGGGTGAGGGTGAGTTCTCTCCCCATCAACGCTCAGGCCCCTCTTAGTCCAACCTGCACAGCCTGCATCTTTCAAAATGACAGCTCAGGACGAAAGAGAAACAGGAGACAGTGAGTCTCCGGCCCCGGGTGGGGTCTGGCATGGGCAGGGCCAGCACCCCTCTTCTTCCTGGGACCCCGGCTACCGCCATTGGGTCCATTCCGAGTCAGAGTGACTCTCAAGCATAGGGCAGGACCGCCTCTGTGGGTTTCCAAGACAATGACTCTTCACAGGAGTAGAAAGCCTCATCTTTGTCCCAAGGAACAGCTGGTGGTTTTGAACGACTGACCTTGAGGTTAGCAGCCCAACTGTAACCACTAGGTCGCCCTGGGAACATGGACAGTCCAGCCCCGTCTGCTGGCAGTGCACTGCTGGGGAGGGAGCACCCAGAGCCGGCCCATCTGGGGGTCCTAGCCTGGTGTCATCCTCCACCCTCATGGGTGGTCGCCTGGCTCTAGTCAAACCGGGAGCACAGTCCTCCTCTGTTCACAGGGGCGCTGTGAGTCGGTGTCCACTCCATGGCAATAGGTGTGGGTGTGGCAGTTTTTTACAATGAGCTCTCCCTGGGTGGCACACAAGACTCACACCCCACACCTCGGGAGGTGGGGCGGGGAAGGCGGTCTCTCACAATTGCTGACCCTGCACAACAGATAAGTGAGGGCCCGGGGCAGACTCCCGGGAGCAACGGCCCAGGCACTAACGCTGTGGGCCTCTGCCCCTGCCCATCACCTGGGCTGCTTGGGGTTCAGCCCAGACCAGGCAAAGAATCCGTTTCCCCCAGGAAGCGCAGGCACCTGCTTTTTTGAAAGGGTCCCAAGGATCCCACTGGGCGGCCCAGGCTGAGAGCCACCATGGCTGGGAAGGCAATCGGGAAAGGCCTCCTGGGGGAGGAGAGTCTGGAGCTGGGTGTGGTTCTCGGCGTGAGGATCTTCATCTGAGTCACCCGGGCCCTTGTCCAAACTGTAGATGCCGCCTCCTGCAGGAGGGAGACTCCCGAACTGGTGGTTTACGCTCCTCCTGGGATTCTGACGGCCCCTGAACTTGGATACCCTCAGGCCCAGGAACGCAGCTGGGTCTAGAGAGGGCTGAGCGAGGAAGCAGGGGGCTCCTGGGATGGGGGTGGGCTGCCCTCCTGAGACCCTCGCCCACCCCTCAGTCCGTGCAGGGCACCGGCCTGGCCTTCATCGCCTTCACGGAGGCCATGACCCACTTCCCCGCCTCCCCGTTCTGGTCGGTCATGTTCTTCTTGATGCTCATCAACCTGGGGCTGGGAAGCATGATCGGGACCATGGCGGGCATCACCACGCCCATCATCGACACCTTCAAGGTGCCCAGGGAGATGTTCACAGGTAACTCCGCCGCGGCCCTCGGCCAGGGGCAGACAGGGTCACTGGAGGTCCCCAGCCCACCCAGCACGGCCTGGCTTTGCTCCAGAGACGGGCGCCGGCTGGTGCGACCTCACCTGTGTGGCCTCACCTGGACTGGAGAAGGCCGTCTTCTTGGGTTCCTTTGCCCTGCTGAGTCATGTTGGGAAGGGGTGCCCTCCCTCAGCCCTGCACTCTGCCCATGGTCTCCCTTCTCTCCTCGCCCCTGCATCCCCAGGAGGGAGTACTCCGCGCTGTCAGAGAGGAAACTGTGGGGAAGGATGTGAGATTTCTCATTTAGAGGAATCCCGGCAGTGTCAGGGCACTCTTGCTCAGGGCCAGGCACAGTGTGGGGCGGGGGCATGGGAGAGAGGACCTCTGACTCTGGAGCCTGATGGACAGAGAGGCAGGTGGGGTGAGAGGGGTGGGAGGGGTGGGAGGGGAGGGGGAGGGCCCGCCCCCGCCCCCCCTCGCCTTGGCCCCCACACCGGCCCCTGGCTCTCTGCAGTGGGCTGCTGCATCTTCGCATTCTTCGTGGGGCTACTGTTTGTCCAGCGCTCCGGGAACTACTTTGTCACTATGTTCGATGACTACTCGGCCACCCTGCCGCTCACGGTCATCGTCATCCTGGAGAACGTTGCTGTGGCCTGGATCTACGGCACCAAGAAGTAAGGGGGTCCCAGGGGCAGGTGTGGCCCACCTTGGCTCTCTGGCGGATGGATCTCTTCCGGGGCTGCCTGTGAAAGAGCCGGGACATGGGAGAGTCAACGTGTCAGGTCATTGAGGAAAGCAGGCTCCCAGAGCAGGCGTGAGTTCCCCCGGCCACTGGGGAGATGCAGGCAGAGCACCCAGGTCTCCTGGATGCAGGCTGAACGTGTGGGCCTCCTCCTGGACTTGTGTTCAAGACTCCATTTTTTCAGCACTCTGTGGGTAGGAGCGGCCTGCCTTTCAAGTGCTTGCGGGCTTCAGCGGTTTGAGGGCTCCCTAGGTAGGGCTGTGGGGCGAGGCCTGGGTGCAGTCCCCCTGTGTGAGGCTGGGCGAGGTAAAGGAGTTGTGTGCTGAGAGAAGCTTAGGTCGTGATCGGGGGCCCCGTAGGGCTACGCCCTCCCTCAGCTCCCAGCCTCAGTCCTCCATGTCCTGGCAGTGCTACAGGGTTAAGTGTTCCGCTGCTAACCACACGGTTGCTGGTTCAAACCCACGAGTCCCTCAGCAGGTGGAAACTGAGGCTGGCTGCTCCCCTAAAGATCTACAGCCTCAGAAATTCTATGTAGGGTCGCTGTGGGTTGGAACTGACTCGATGGCATGGGCGTGGGTTTGATTTGGGGTGTGTCCACAGGAAACCAGGACTCAGTCCCACCCCCCACCCCCACTCACTTAGCCGGGCGGCTCTTGCCCTTGGCAGGGTCAGGGCCACACTGACCCACACAGCTCTGGCCCGGCCCTAGAATCAGGCCTCTTTCCCGGCTCCCTCAGAGGACTGTCTGTGGGGACAAAGGCTGTTATGCAGGGGATTCCACTGCCTGTCCTTTGCCAGCAAGCCCCAACGTGCTCCCTGTTACAAGGGCTCGTGCGTGCGTGCGTGCG